TGCTCTTGGTGCTCACGTCGCAACTCGCAACGTGAACTTCGTGTTTGTTATTTTAACCAAAACTCCGCGGCTCTCGGTGACTTTGATGTCTTTCACGTCGTCGTCGTCAGACGAATCCGTCATCACCGCCGTTATGGAGGACGAGACAAGAAGGCGTTATCATCAATCATCGACAGCCACCATCTATCCACTGCTGGATGAAGCCCCCCCCCCAATGCTTACCACTGATACGTGGCTCCACCCTGGGAAAGATGCTATGGGCCTGTTCTCATCGTTATTATATTATTGGAGGGAAGAGCAAAGAGAGCCTAGGTGTGGATGATGTTGATGCACGTGAATCTTGCTCGTTATGGACGTAGGGACCACGTGCTGGGATGTTATGACGAGAGAGAGTGGTGTCATGGATAACGAGGAAAATTGAAATGCGGTCGCCTCGCGTTTTACATGCGTGCACGTAATGCGGATTTCGTACAATTATTTTTGTTCTGCGCTTGCAAACTGTCGGTGGAATAACGCGCCCCAGTGCATTGGGCCACGGTGTCACGGAACGCACGGCGAGCTGAATCGTTAGTTCAGGGCGGCAAAGTTTCATGAACCGATGCTGACTGAGGGTGCAGCAGTGAGAGAACAACCACAAGCGACGGGACAGATTGTAGTCAGCATTTTCTCGCGAGACATTTTGAAGATCTTGTCCCCATGCACTTTGTCTTAGTGCAGGCATTCGCCGACAAAATATGTTCGGTGAACGTCCAGTAACCCCACCACTCCGCATTGCTTTCCTCCACCAGCCCCAGCATGCCACTACAGTCAAGCATCTCACTACGTGTTACAAATATTTTAGTTATACTTATTTTGTTTGTTTAAATTGCCTGTTACTAGCTTTAATACATGTTTGGTATTATTGTAAATGTAATATGCCACTGTAACCGATGAAAAATATAGACGTAAGAGAATGAAGTTTGATAGCGTGCTCTTCCTAACACCAACCATTTCCATTATTTCTTAGTTACGCGCCATTTTTCAAGAACATAAATCCCGTGCAAAATGAGAGGTGGTTGTACGTGTATCATGTTTTACGTTGTATAAAGACCCACGCACTCACGTAACTTACATATTTACCACCCAACTAGCAAAGACGCCCATACATTCACTTAAAGGAGAAACAAAGACAAAGATCCCCCGTATAGCCTGAACAGACTGTTGGGGTCAGTGCTGTCAGTGAGCACCTACAGTATAAAGGCCGGCATGGCACACGAGGGGGTGGGTGGCCAGCACCACGCCCTGCCGCCTTAGCCTCCCTCATGGCGATGTTTACTACACACGGCGGCACAAGGTATTCATCACATAGACAACAACAACAACCGCCATTCGCCACTAAGTGGCGGTGACATCACCACGGCGCTTGTGCCAGGCCATGTGCACCTTGAGGCCACGTGGAGTGTCGAACGCCCGCTGGCAGGAGGTCACGAGGCAGACCCAAGTGCCACGGGCCGACTGACTGAGATGACTGAGATGACCGGCTGATGCACCACCTGTGCCCCCTATTGTGCCACATAGACACCCACACACGCACATGCAAGACCCACAGATATAGGAATAGGTTTTGCCCTTTTAACTGACACCTTTATTCAAGGCATCATGTTTGCAAAAAGACCCACAGACTTAACATTTAACTCTAGACGCACAGATTCGCAGGAGACTCGTAGACTCGTGTAGACCTCTAATAATCATAATAATTAACATTTATTTGTAAGGCGCCTTTGACTAACGTCTCAAGGCGCCTTGTAAGAATAAGGTTAAGGAAAGGCCAAGAGAGAAGGAGAGCTACATATAATAAACGGAATTAGGAAAATGTCTTTTTAGACGCGACTTAAAAGTATCCACATGGTCGGTTAAACGAATTTCTAATGGTAGGGAATTCCCAAACCGAGGTGCAGACACAGCAAATGCCCTCTCACCCCGGGAATGCAGCTGGGATCGAGGCACGCACAAAAGAGCAGAAAATGCTGATCTTAACAACCTTGACAGAGTGTACGGATGAATTAGCTCGTAAATATATGGTGATGCCAGCCCATGCAAGGCTTTACAAACTAGCAGAAACCTACTCTTTGGTTCTATTGGGTAAAGTCACGTAGGTAAAAAAAAAACAGAGTGTACGGATGAATTAGCTCGTAAATATATGGTGATGCCAGCCCATGCAAGGCTTTACAAACTAGCAGAAACCTACTCTTTGGTTCTATTGGGTAAAGTCACGTAGGTAAAAAATAAAATAACAAAAATCAGGACAGCGCTGTCCTCCACACAGTCTCGTCCCTTCACCTGATGAAGGCCGCTTGTGTTGTGGCCGAAACGTTGTGATTTTTGTTATTTTATTTTTTTACCTACGTGACTTTACCCAATAGAACCAAAGAGTATGGATCCTTGCAGTCACGAAAGCTTCAAATCTAGAATAGCAGAAACCTCTTGCCCTCTACTTGTTTCAGGACCGCAGCTGTTAAAGATGATGAAGGCAAAGATATTGCTGACGTAGAATCGACTGTCAGCTGGAGGTAAATTTGGGTGTCGACTGCATAGCAGCGGTAGGGCAGCCCTAAAAATCGAAGCAGTGCTCCAAATGGGGCGATGTAAATGATAAACAGAATGTGACCAAGCACTGAGCCTTGAGGAACCCCAGACTGCACTGAACTGACCGAGGACTTTAAAGCCATCCACATTGACATACTGCTTGCAGTTTTACAGGTAAGAGCATAAGCACTTCAGAGTAGAATCTGTTACCCCCATAATATGTTCAAGCAGTTCATTTAAAATGTCATGGTCGATTGCATCGAAATCTGCACTAAGGTCTAGAACAGGGGTGTCCAAACTTTTTTTTCCCGGTGGCCACATACAGAAAAATATACGAAGGAGTGGGCCACTCACTAGACGTGAGGTATACTGCCTCAGTTCTCATGCACTAATATTGGCAAAATCAATCAATTGCAGGTAAATAACGTTTGATAATTGAACATGTTTGAAGAAAAAAAGCCTCCATCATAGCTTTTCATTAGTAGATTTTAATTTTATTTTTTACAAAAAGGTTGGCAGGTCATTCTCTCAGTGACAGCCTCAGATTGGTTCTTAGGGTGCTGATCCCCCTTCATTGTCCTGTATGAAGGGAGAGACAAGAAGAGAAATAGGGGATGTGGATATTTCAAGCTTATTACACAAATACATTATTGGGCTTGTTAACACATCAACTAACGTTTGTTAAAAAAAATTGTCATCAACTTTAATTGACTGAATATATTAAGTAATGTGGCTTATTAACAAATAAAACGGTGTGTATATTTTTAACTCACCTGCAATGGGAAGAATGTTGCGCTCAGTGGGAGCAGTGATGCTGCGCTTTGATCTGAAGGATAGCTGGCAGGTCAGGAGTAAGTTTGGTGGTTGAGATGCGAAGGACGTCACGGAGATGGCTGTCGGTCGTTCTGGTTCTCAGCCTGCTTTTGTTCAGCGTTAACAGAGAGAACGTCTGCTCACAGATGTATGTTGAGCCGAACAGACTCATCATTCGTTTTGCATGACGTCTCATCAGAGGAAACTTGGCCTTTTCCAAACTCCGGTAGAAGTCAGGTAGGGAGAGAAGCTGATGCTGATTCTTCAGAGAATCATCAAACTGAATTTCGATCAGTTCTAATTGCAGACTCTCCTCCACTTATTTTGCATCCATTGAAAACAGAGCCGCAAACAGTGTAATGTCCTTCTAAATGACAGAAAAATCTTGGAAGCGCTGACTGAATTCTGTCATGAGAGATGTGATCACAGACACATATTCTCACATTTTTGCAGAGAGCTTGGCATTTGGAAATGCGCATTGATTTGGGTCAGCGTGGGGAAGTGCGCTACATTGAAGTTGCGCAGTTGTGACTCGAAGAGACGGAGCTTCGAACGGAATGCTTTCATGTGCGCATACAGCTGTGGTACCAGCTGCTCTTTGCCTTGTAGTCTCTTGTTCGGAGTGTTGAGATGATCAGTGAGATCAACAAAAAAAGCCAGGCCTGCCAACCATAAAGGGTCACTGATCTCATGGAGAGGTCTGCCCTTTTCTTTCAAAAACTTGTCGATATTTGATCTCAGGGAATAAAACCGCTGCAGCACGGAGCCGCGACTGAGCCAGCGCACTTCAGAATGGTAGAGTAGGTCCCCGTATTCAGCATCGACATCAGAGAGGAACGCTTGCAATTCACTGTGGTAAAGCCCTCGGGCCATAATTTTTTTTGACATTTTTCACAACTGTGTTCATCACATCGCCAAGCTGGATTATCTTGGCACAGAGGGCTTCTTGGTAGATGATACAGTGCATTTTGACAGCCTCACCTCCGCTCTCCTGCACCTTGGCACTCACCATAGAGGCCATTCCTTTGCGCTCGCCTTGCTGGAGCCCCATCCGTTGTAATTCCACACAGCTTGTCCCATTTAAGTCCAGCCTGATCAATTGAATCTGACACAGCTTCAAACATGTCCTTCCCAGTTGTTGTCCCCTTTAGACTCCGAAGAGTCCGAAGAGTCTAAAGCAGTTCCTCCGTAATGCAAAAATTATCATCAACTCCAAAAAATTAACAGCTGTGCAGTGTCCATGGCATCTGTGCTCTCATCACATGCAATCGAGTAAAAATCGAAAGCACAAGCTTTATCTGACACTTGCTGTTTTAAGTTAGCCGACAAGTCTTTAATTCGCCGCACAACCTTATTTCTGGACCATAATAACATCGTTGAAATTCTGCATTTTCTCCGGGCACATTATTCCCACGACTTTAGTGAGGCACTTGCTTGATGAAGTCACCGTCTGAGAAAGCTTTCCCGTGTAGGGCAATGAGTTGAGCTACTTCATTGCTGGCTATTGTTGCATTTTCTTGAGCTTTGTTAGCACGGAAAAAACCCTGCTGCTGCGTTAGCAGGCTAGCTGTGCTATTTGCTTTACCTTCTCTATCCGCTCGGCGCCAGTGTAGGACGTGAAGGTCTGATGTTTCGTTTCATAATGCCGTCGTACATTGTACTCTTTCATCACGGCAACACTCTCTTTACAAATCAAACAAACACACTTCCCCTTGGTTTCTATGGAAAAAAAATCATTTTTCCACCGAGTCTGAAATTTTCTGCACTCACTTGCAATCTTGCGTCTCTTCGGTTCCGGCATTTCTGGTGACCCTGAGCAATTTTTTTCTTTGATTGCTTGCTTTGTGGAGACGCTGCCTTGTTCAAGACACTTAGTTTTTAAATTAAGAAGTGCAATACAGTGGGAATAGTCCATTATATTTTTTAAACTTTGATACGGGCCAATTAAAAATGGATGGCGGGCCGCAGTTGGCCCGCGGGCCGTAGTTTGGACACCCCCGGTATAGAAGATCCAGAGCACTACCGTGGTCTGCAGTGATTAACATATAATTTACCACCCTAACTAGAGCCGTCTCCGTGCTGTGTTTTGTTATAAAACCCAATTGAAATGGGTCGAACAATTCATTTAAAGACAGATGCTGCTAGATCAGATTTGTCACAGCACGCTCAAGGACCTTACAAATGAAAAGAAGATTGAAAATAGGCCGGTAATTAATAAGGCACTCTGGATCTAGGCCTGGCTGTCTTCGCAGATGAGTGCTGTTGCGTATATAATAATGACCGGAGTTTGCGCGATGGTTCACAGCTCCTGGTATGGTGAAGCGGGCCCCTCTGGCTCCTCGCATATTTCACCGACTCGAAATGAACAGCGTGGAGAGACGGAGTCACACCAGTAGGGGGCGCAACTATAGAGGTGTGTGGGTGGGTGTTGGGGTGTTTGAGCAGGTGGCTGTGGGTGGGTGTGGATTTTGGTGGTTGTAGGTGTGGGTGTGTGTGTGTGGGGAACGCTAGTGTAGGGGTTAGGGCGCTGTGCTACGAACCCGGCGACCCCAAGTAGTGATTATCTGAACCAGTCCTGGGCCTCCCCTAGGTCGACTCAGTCTCAAATAAGTACCTGGCACGGTGTGTAAAACATCGTCACTGGGGAGACAAAGGCGGTCGGGCGTGGTGCTGGCCAGCCACCACCTCGTGCGCCGTTCCGGTCTTCATAGGTGCTGCTCGCTAACAGCACTTGCCCCAACAGTCTGTTAAGGCTACACGGGGGATCTTTGTCATTGTAGCAGCGTGATGAGACGCATAGCTCGCCCAAGTCGGCCACAAGGGTGACCCCGAATCAACAGATAAACAAAAACAAGTAGTCCCCGACTTACGACGGTCCGACTTACGATATTTCGATCTTACGATGGCGATAGCGATATGACAAAATTGTAAAATATTTTTTTTATTTCGCGCGGCAGGCAAACGTACAGCAGTGTACGAGGTACGATATTGTAACTTTATCAACGCCATCCTCCTCTTCCGACAACGAAGTTAATGTAGCCATCAACAACCTAACATCGTTCAAGTGTGCAGACGACGGACAGAATCTTGGTGAGCACAGTAGAATATGATACGTTACGATACGTTCTGTGCATGTATGATACGTAGCTTTAGCGATTTCATTTTAGGGTTACCACGACACGATACATACGTTCAATGCATGTTAAAAGGGTTTTTTTTATAGCAGATAGGATTGTTTCCTGAAAAAAACTTTCCATGAAATTGCAGTTCATATAGGTAGTCTAAGAATTTACCTTGTTTTTTTACTTTACATTTTACTGTGCAATACTGTATTGTAATTAATAAATACATACAGTATATAGTTTATACAGTACGGTACTGTAAATGGCTCTGTTTTTGCTAAATTATCACCATTCTTTAAGACTCTTCGACTTACGATATTTTCGACTTACGATATTTTCGACTTACGATGGGGGCGTCGTAACGCATCTCCATCGTAAGTCGGGGACTACCTGTAGAGTACTAACAAGCTAAGAACAATTATTCAAATACATTTATTTGTACAGAAAATGACCTACGTCCTACCATGGACCAAGCCCTGATTAAGGCACACCTGGCTATCAACAATAGATCCATCCACCCCTTTTGAGGAAATCCTAGACCGATGGAGACCCAGCATGAAAGCAAAGACCCGCGATAACTTAATTGTGAGTAATTGTAACATTTACATATTTTTATAATTCTGAATAACTGTCACTGTGAGAACTGTCTTCTTCAGAAGCCAACAATACACAGTGCAACTAAACTAAATACAGTATAGTTATAGTCTAACATATTTTTGTATATATACGGGGGTTTTAATCCATTCGAAGTTTCAGTAAAGGTGATAGTCGGGAGAAAGGAGAGGTGGGGATCACCACAGTCGGATCATGCAAAGCCGCCACCACCACCTCCACCCCCACCACCCTCACCACCACCCCCACCACCCTCACCACCACCCCCATCACCCTCACCACCCTCACCACCCCCACCACCCCCACCACCACCCTCACCACCCTCACCACCACCCCCACCACCCTCACCACCACCCCCATCACCCTCACCACCCTCACCACCCCCACCACCACCCTCACCACCCTCACCACCACCCCCACCACCCCCACCACCACCCCCACCACCCCCACCACCACCCCCACCACCACCCCCACCACCCCCACCACCACCCCCACCACCACCCCCACCACCCCCACCACCACCCCCACCACCCCCACCACCACCACCACCACCACCCCCTCCCCCCCACCACCTCAACCTCAACCACCACCACCCCCACCTGCACCCCCACCACCACCCCCACCACCTCCACCACCCTCACCACCCCCACGTTGAGATCGGTAGCTGAGCCCCTGGGTCGCCCGATTCACACGCCGCTCATCTCAACTAAAACAACGTGGGTCTTTTACTTACCCACACTGACCGGCATGGTGCAGTATGATCACACAATCCTCAGGTTCCACACAATGTGCCTAGGCTTGCATTCAGCAATTATTTTTCCCCCCTGTATACTATGTTAGGTAGTTAACATCTCCTAGCCACCGTGGCGTCAGTGTCAGGATCGAACCAATGACCTCCTGCATACCAGGCGAGGTAGTTAACATCTCCTAACTAGTGACGTGCGGTGAGGTCAATGGCTGGGGAGGCACTGGTGTCAGAGCCAGATTCACACACTGACGGGGGCGTGGCTTCACGAAAAAGGGGGCGTGTTAGACACGTCCCCATCAGTGAGGCAGATGTGATAGCTGCCTCCCCTGGTGCTTTTTCATTGCAGTTTCATGACGAGACCAGCGAGCCTAAATATCTCTATACACATACGTGAAATAAGTTACCTGGACTATGGAAGGCGACGACATGTAATGAAGGGGTCTACAAACATTACATTGGTGTCATACTGAGATAGTAACAGGCACGTGATTATTGCCCGCGCTCCATCCAGTTACTGAGGGGTTGCGCAATCAGAGGGGAGGCTGAGCTCGTCGCTGCCTCACCTCTCGTCTCTTCCTGCATTTGCAGCGGAGCTCCGCAAATTTGGCGATTTTGACTATGAAAATTATTGGAATCCTACAGAAATTTTATTTATAACACAGATCAGTAGAAAAATGTTTATATTTATTTTATTTTATTATTCTTTTATTTTACTTTTAGTCTATTTTCATTGGAGTATGGCAGGTGAGGCTCTGCCTCCCCTGCCTCCCCTGACCGCACGTCCCTGCTCCTAACCACCGTGGCGTCAGGGGCGAGATCGAACCTACAACCTCCTGCATACCAGGCAAGGTAGTTAACATCTCCTAGCCACCGTGGCGTCAGTGTCGGGATAGAACCAATGACCTCCTGCATACCAGGCGAGGTAGATAACATGGCCTCGGCATTGTGGCATCCGGGTCGAGATTGAACCCACAACCTCCTGCATACCAGGCGAGGTAGTTAACATCTCCAAGGCACCGTGGTGTCAGGGTCGGGATCGAACCCACAACCTCCTGCATACCCGGCAAGGTAGTTAACATCTCCTAGCCACCGTGGCGTCAGGGTTGGGATCGAACTCACAACCTCCTGCATACCAGGCGAGGTAGTTAACAACTCCTAGCCACCGTGGTGTCAGGGTCGGGATCGAACCCACGACCTCCTGCATACCAGGCGAGGTAGTTAACATCTCCTAGCCACCCCTTTTTTCTGGTGTCAAGATGATGAAAGGACGAATCAGCTCCAATTCTTCCAGCAATACCGTCCGGTTATTGTGGGAATTGCCAGGAAACTGTGGGTGCACGGCCAGGCCTGGACTGGTCGTATGGAAGCAACAGTCCATGGGGGCAAACTCCCGGTAGGGGAGGGTGGGCGATCTCTGTGTCGAGAAGTCAATGTGATCAGATCGAGCTTAGCGGAACTCTGTCGCGTGAGTAGGAATACGTGGTTTGTAACAGCGGGTGCCTCAACATAGCATCATCATCGTCCTCATCGTACAAGGCACTGGGATGCTGCTGGATGCTGTTTCTAGATTAGTGGTCCTTAATCTTTACTGCAGCCTTGCACCCCTTTGGTTCTCAATTATTTAATGTTTTTAGAATGTTAATAAAGACATAGGGTTTGATGAAACTGAGTAGTTGTACTTATGTGCCCCGTGCTTAATTTGTGTTTCGATGATTTACCTCGGTATTAGTTCGGGCCCTGCGTTACACATCTCACATTGTTATCGAGGACTTTGCTTTACCCCCCTATATTATTTCATACTAGTAGCTAAGTTTCCCGGCTTAGCATGGGTCTTAGTAATCAAATGTCAAGAGTAATGTCTTGCCATGTTGTCTAAGAATAATTGAATGCTGCAAATGAAGTCGGTAAATGTGTATTTTGTTCGTGTTTTTTGGTTGCAAGGCTTGCCTATTTGATAATATGAGGGCAGCTTTTAAATGTTTTACCCTTGGAAAGCTTCAGGATAGACAATGTTGGATGTATTGTCATCTTGTGGCAATATGAAAATGTTTTTTGCATTGCCAACTCTGGAGCAACCAACATAGAGTTGGACATGAGAGAAGCTTACGAGGTTGAGGCCAAACTCCCTGGTTATTTCGGTAAAGTCACGTAGGTAAAAAAATAAGCACGACGTTTCGGGCGTAACACAAGCGTCCATCATCAGGTAACAGATGTGTGAAAACCCTCCCCGTAGAGGCGCTTCAATCTAGATTTGAAG